AAAGCAGAGCCTTCTTCTTTGGAGACCTGAAAAGAAAAGTTCACACTTGTCAAGAAAGCCAAGACCAGAACATTTATTTCTTTACCATTTCTTGTTCTGCTGCTCTTTAAGTGTGCATGCACCCTCCCACTCCAGAACAGCTCATTTCCACTGATCTCTAAATCTTTCTCCACAAACCTGTTTCTCTTTCACTCATCACGTCCCTAGCAATGCAATCACCTGCAAGAGACTCTCTGGACATTCATGAAACAACAAAGTCCTTTAAAAAAATATTCTTTTCTTGGAGCTTAATCTACAACTATGCCTCACATGAGCAGTCCTCAGCCCTAACACAAGCATTTGTCAGTTTGGTAAACTAAAGGTATTTCCTTCTCCTGGTCAGTATCTAATATGTTTGCCAAACTACTTCCCAGAACCAAGCAAACCCCCCCCAAACCCCAACCAAAAACCACACCATGCCCAAAATACGAAAACCAGTCTTGCTGAGGCCATAAAAAAAGCAACACCCAGTCCTCATCCTATACTTTACATCTCTTAGCATGGGTGTTTTACCATAGCTGCCATAATTTTCCTGCTACAACACACATTGAAAATTCATCTAATTCCAGGTATACAAACAGCACCTCTGGAACTTGTTTTCCAAAGTACATTTCCTTTGAGCAAAGCTCTGCTTCAGTTTTCCCACAGATGGTAGTTACTGTTTTCTTAAGCAATTTTCCTTTCTGCCCATTCTTATCCAAGTTCTCCATTATTACGCATCCATTCTAAGCACACTTACATCTGCAATTTGTACTAGTATCTGCAAGTGGTTTAAAGAATGCTAAATCTCTATTAACAGTATCTACTTTCAGGAATTAAAAAAAAAAAAAAAAAAAAAAAAACAAAACCCAAAGGGAATTTAAACCCAAAGCATCAACTTGAAGACTTTACTTTTGTAATTGCTATACACATTTGGTTATTCAACACATTCCAGGTTAAACAAGTACTTGTCTCCTGTTCAACTTATTATATAGTAAACATGCAAAAAAATTAAGAAGTATAACCTCTTGTATTACTGCATTTTACAACAGAAACAGCTTGTAATAGTGGCCTTCTTTTGTGCCATTTACCTGCCGTAGCTGTGTCAGATCAGATTTATTTCCCACCAGGACCACAGGAGTGTCATCAGTACGTCGAACACGATAGATGAGCTGTTTGAACTCACGCACTTCATGGAAACTGCGCCGGTCTGTGATTGAATAACAGATGATAAATCCCTCACCAGCCCTCATGTACTGGTCTCTCATGGCCGTAAACTCTGCCTAGAAACAAACAATTACATTTCAATTGCACAAATACAATGACTTTCTAATTTCCTCAGAATGGGAAACACAATACGCATTCCAAAACCAGCTGCATAGGAACTCTGCAAACAAGCTGGTCATCTATCTTCTCATCCTCTTACATATAGGACAAGATATTACATAAGTTTGGGATTAACACCAAGTTTCCCTCGCTACAGAAATCATAGCAACCTGTCATTTATCAGCCAATATGTATTGCTTGTTCATCATGAACAACAAGCTGCAACAGAGAAAGCAGTGCATGAAACCAGAGTACCACGTAAGCTGACTAAATATAGATAGTATGATACAGATGCTATAAGCAACGTGATGCTTAGAAGTAAGAGAGCTCAAAAAACAATTTGGAAGAAAAGACATGCATACTTTTACAGGATTTCTGTCTCCACACCTGACCATTACAGACTTCTTAACATCTTCCCAATTAACTTATTATTACTCACATACCTGTCCTGCTGTGTCCAAAATATCCAGATTGGCAGGTTCATCATCAATGCGTATTCGTATTTTATAAGCATCCTCTGCGAATTCATGGCCCATCAGAAAGAACAAGATCGCAATACAATGACAATACTTGTTAGTCACCAATTCACAAAGAGAACATTACACTAGTACTATACTGCATTACTCTGATCTTCATTTAACACCAAATTACATTTTTAATTGTTCTGGTCTGATTTAGCATCCTCCCAACTGTTTGCTAAAATCATGCTATTGTACATGCTATATCTGACAGACATGTGACTGCATTCTATAAATTCATTTTGGACACCTCGGTGAAAAGCACAGAGTAAGAGCATTACATTTTTCTCAAAGCCAGAAAATACCCGTGATTCAAGAGAAGAACTGACCACCATCAACTGCTTACTTAAAAGTAAGACAATAAATATTCTGTCCCTCTAAGTCAACACTCCCACACTACAACAGTCCGCTTATCAACAAGAAGCCAGCTGTTTTTCCCACTTTTCCTTTGACAGTGTAACTGTTGGTTTTCTCTTACAGATGCTGCAAAAGTTATGCAGCAATATAGTAAGTTGTTAAGCACTTTCATCCCTCCCAATTTCTAAAACACAGAGAACAATTTAGCCTGACAAATTAATAGCAGAGAGCTGATCTAAAGCATGGAGACTAGAAATATTTTCTTAATAGACAACTAATATTCACTTATCAGCTGTTTTTCATCCTTGTCTGCCAACATACAAACAAATACTGATAGCGCATATAGGCCTGAATATGTGTGACAGGAAAGCCATTAAAGATCTAAAACTCAGGATATGTATCCCAGTCCTCACAGCAGTCTCAAAACTTTTAATACCTTCAAATGAGTAATCTAAGGGACTTGGGTCCTCAATTTACAGTCAAATTGATAGCTTTCTTTCAGTTAAGTGCTTTAAAGCAATGGACTCCACAACAGCTTAACCTGCTAAGAGGGGGAGTAAACAGCAAAGATTAAAGAGAGATTTTTCTTACCAATTGTGGGATCGTGATCCTCTGGAAACCGGTGACTGATGAACTGCATGGTCATGGCTGGAAACAAAAATCAGAGACACAGTTGCACAAGTCTCGGTGAACATCTGCTGCTCCAGTATTCAGCTCACAAAATGCTTGAGCACATTATTTCACTAGCAGCTAAAACACGAAACCATACTCGGTGCAATATTTGACAGAAACACGGCAGGTGAAATAGGCTAAATAACTCAGAAACAGAGAACTACACCCTCGTCTTCAACAAAGCCCTCCGTTACGAGTTTCAGAAACAAAGCTGGACCCAGCCAAAACGCGGAAGACGATGACACACGGCGCCCCCAAGACAGCCCGGGGGGGGGGGGGCGGAACAGCGCCCAAAACCAGACTGTTTTGTTCAAGAAACTTGTCACCTCGCAGCTACCGAGCCGAGCCCTCAGGCGCTCCTGCTACCAGCGCTACCCGCGGAGTCCCCCGGCCCGCTCCGCGCAGTGAGGGGAAAGCGGCGGCTCCGCCCGCGGCAGGACAGAGGGTCTCCAGGGCCGCCCCGCACCGGCCGCCCCCCGCGGATCCCCCTCCGGCGGCGGATCGGCCACGCTTGGAGGAGCTGTACGCACCGCTCTTGCCGACACCACCGGCGCCCAGCATCACTAGCTTGTACTCGCGGGACTGCCCCGGAGCGCCGCCGCCGCCGCCCGGGCGGGCTCCAGAATCCATCTCCTCGGCGCCGAAGAAGCCGCCGCCGCTGAAGAGGAGGAAAGAGCGTGAGCGCTGGCAGCCCGTCGCCCGGCCCTGCCCCGCCGCCACCCCATTCCTCCTCCTCCTCCTCCTCCTCACCGTCAGGCTCCTGCGCGCCACATCCGACCGGCTGCCGCTCCGTTCCCCCGCCGAGCCCAGGCGGCGACACCAAAATGGCGGCGGCTCCTCCACCGCCCGCGAGCGCCCGGCCACGCCCCCGCCCGGCCCGCGCTGCGCGGAGGGGGC